CGACTCAATCTTTTTTTCTTTTTTTAATTACACTTGTCTTAATATTTCTTAAAATAATATCTAGATCTCATATGACGGATGATTGATTTTCTCTAAGCAGTGAAAGTAGTTTGTTTAGAAATCAGCTATGTTACTGTGTCTCATTAGCAACCCAGCAGACAGAAGAAGGAGCAGAAGGTACCAGCAGCACAGAAGAGGCATCCACCACAGCAACAACGGGCACCACCCAGGGCAGGGCTATCACTACTGTCACTCAGTCTACACCAGCCCCTGGACCCTCTGTGCCTGTAAGAATACCACATCATTCCTGTCAAAATAAGATCCTTTTCTAAAAACCATCCAGTATGTCTAGGTGATGGTGGTAAAACTAATCCTAGTAGATGTCCACGTTGGGGCTGCATTTCTGAAGTTGATATGCTGTACAGACAAAAGTACCAGGCCACCTACACATTACACTTAAAGGATCTGCTTGACCATGGAAACTGAAGTTGTGAAACTCCCGGAGCACAGTACTTGTGCTGACGAGAAAGCCAGAGCAAGTTTATAATCCTGTAGGTATTGAGTCAGCAGAGTGTTGATAGAGTGTTGGCGTCCTATCACATTACTGTGCTGAATATCTACGAGCTCTTTAGAACAAAACATTCAGAAATGTTTGTAAAGGCAGACTGTATTGGTAGGTGCCAGAATTTAAACACCGGTGGCCATGGGACTGAAAACACGTGGCTTTGCAGATTGAGAAGTGTGGTCTGATACTTTTGTCAATATGTGTGTACGAATATGTAAGAAGAATGTCATTTCCAGAGTTTCTTTCTCATTGTGGGGTATGATTTCTTTGTTTCCCTCTAGTCGATCTCATCCATCACAGAGGGAGTAAGCACTGCAGCTAGCTCCACAGAGGAACCCATGCAGACTGATGAGCCAGCATCAGCAGAAGCTGCACCTGTTGAGGAAGGAACCGCAGCAATGGAGACACAAGCAGAGGTGAATAAAGTATGAAGGCAAAAAAATCTGTTTGGCCTTTGATTTTGAAACTCTTTGCAGTCATGCATTTTCCATGTTTTTTTGATGGAACTGCTTTAATGTGTTCCCCAGGGAGAAGCAGCAGCAGCGACAGCCTTGAACCTTCCTTCAGAGCTGATGTCTGAGGGCCAGGGAGCCACACTAATGGTGACGGGGCTGTCGGACGAGGAACTGGCTGTCACTGCAGCAGCAGAGGCGGCTGCACAAGCAGCAGCCACAGAGGAAGCCCAGGCCCTCGCTATCCAGGCTGTCCTCCAGGCAGCTCAGCAAGCCGTAATGAGTGAGTAGAATCAAAGCTTTTTGTTCAGACTTTCGAATTTTGAACCATAGCAAAGCCTAAGATCAAGGACTGGCTGTAGTTAACAGGACACTTGTCAGTAAAACTATTCCTCTAGATGTGAAACTCCTGAATTCTCTGTGATCTTGCTATTCATAAAAAATGTATAACTTACAGATGAAGGCGATGCTGCTGGAGAGAACCAGCAACCCACCAACATCCCCATCATGCTGACCCAGCAAGATCTTGCAGCACTGGTCCAACAGCAGCAACAATTGCAGGAGGCTCAGGCCGCAGCTCAGCAGGCCACGGTGGACACAAGCTTGCCCACCGAGGGTCTTGCTCCTGCCGACAGCCTCAATGATCCGTCTGTTGAGAGCAATGGGCACAACGAAATGGCCGCTGCAGTCACAAGTGCTGTGGCTTCTCTCCTGCCACGCACCACAGCTGAGAGTATGTTTGTGTATTTTTTTTTTCTTTTATAGTTACTTTGGATGCTACTGTTTGTTACAGCAGACTGATTATTTTTGTATTGCTCTTGACATTGCACAGCGCTTGCGCCATCAAGTACGTTTGCACCCTCTGTATCTGTGGCAAGTCCAGCTAAACTTCAAGCAGCAGCCACTCTAGCAGAGGTCGCCAATGGCATTGAGGGAGAGGTGAGTCATTTTGGTGCTGCTGCACTTCTGATTATGTCAGTTGAGGTGAAGAGAGGAAAGGAGGAATTTGTTGACCGTTTTTGTTCCCATGCAGAAGCAAGCCCCTCAGCCAGCTCCAGTGAAGCCTGTTGTGAAAAAGGAGAACCAGTGGTTTGATGTTGGGATTGTTAAAGTGACAAATATGGTTGTCACTCACTACTATGTGCCAGGAGATGATTCTCAAGGAGATGTAAGTTGTCTCAGGGAGCCTTTTCTTGTTCAGAATGATATCGATGTGCGTTACAAGAGTCCATCTTTATCTAATCAACTACTTGTATTTATGCGTTTGGTAGGATGACTCTGGCATTATACCAGACTACAGCCAGATGAAGAAAATGGAGCTGCAGCCTGGAACAGCTTACAAGTTCCGTGTTGCTGGAATCAACGCCTGCGGTCGTGGAGCTTTCTCTGAGATTTCGGCTTTCAAGACTTGCCTACCAGGCTTCCCGGGGGCACCTTGTGCCATCAAAATCAGCAAGGTAAACAAACCCTGTTGCATTGTAGATTTTACTCACAGGTGTGCCATACGTGATCACATGAGCCATGGTTTTGGCACCAAGTAGCATCTTTTCACTGTACCCCCCCAGAGCCCAGATGGTGCCCACCTAACCTGGGAGCCACCCTCGGTGACGTCAGGAAAGATCATTGAGTACTCTGTGTACCTGGCCATCCAGAGCAACCAAACAGCTGAAGCCAAGGCTTCCACCCCAGCCCAGCTAGCCTTCATGCGTGTTTATTGTGGACCCAACCCATCTTGCTTGGTTCAGTCGTCCAGCCTCTCTAACGCACACATCGACTACACCACCAAGCCAGCGATCATCTTCCGCATTGCCGCCCGTAACGAGAAGGGCTATGGTCCTGCCACACAAGTTCGATGGCTGCAGGGTGAGTTCACAAATAAGTTCTTTAAAATATTAAAAATACTTAATTACTGAGGCTGCTATTGATGGATTGAATCTCTCCACTTTAATGCCCTGTAGAATCTGGCAAAGATGCCTCCTCTGCAAAACCGGCCCCCAAAAGACCAGGCACCTCTCCTGATACGTAAGTACAGTATTCATGTTTCATATCGTGCACACAGGAACATTTCATCGATGAATAAAACATCCAGCACTTATTCTGGTTTTGTGTGTTCTCCTGCAGTAAGTCTACTGGTCCAAAGAAAGCAAGGACGGACCAGTGAGGTTGCCTGGAGATCCCTCCCAGTCTTTTCTTTTGGTCTTTTTTTTACCCCACTCGCTGTCTTTTTATCAGGAAGACTGACCTTCACCCTTTCTCCTCTTCATCCTCATCCTAACCTCATCCTCCATCCACTTCCCCAATGTCTCAGACCAAGACGGCAATGGAGGCAGAACAACCATATGAAGCCGAGACGAAAGTTGATCTGAGAGATGTTTCTGTAGATAAAATCCTCCTTCCTCCTCGTTCTGTTGGTCGTACTATTTTTAGAGCAACACAAACCTAGAAGCACATTATCTTTTTCAGTCACATCCCCTTCCATCCTTTTAACACCTATTTTTGACTTATTTCAATAGTTGGAACAGTATAGAGAAGCATTTACATCTTTCACAAACTGGGAGCCAGCCTGAGCGCAATGTTACCCTTTTTCTTTTTTTTTTCTCCTGTGTTTTTGGGGAATTCTGGGGGGGATGTAGAGAGAGACTACATGGAATGATGTACAGTGTTGAAAAAGGCTGTGGAAGCGTTAGTATAGATGAGAGGAAAAAAAATCGGTATGGAATCAAATAAAGCACTTGTCCTCTGTGAAGGAGGACTTTTTTTTTTTTTTAATTATTATTATTATTTTGCTCAAAACTAATTTGCTTCATTGAGAACCAAGTCTGTACAGTCATCGTACTGGACTCCAGTCTCCTGGTAATGTCATCACTGTGCGCTTTTTACCCCAAGATGAGGACTGGTGGCCAACATGTTGGAAGAATGGCAAAAGGAAGAGATTTGTAGAGAACGAATGACTTTGCTAGGACTGAGACTTGCAGCACACATGGAAAAAAAAAAATCTTCCCAAAAAATTAGCAAGCAATGACGCAGAAGATCTTTTGTGTAGTTTATTTTTGTATTTTTTAAGCTTTTTTTTTCCTTCTGTGTGTATGTGTATGTTGTGTGCATTTTTAAGAGGAAAAAAAATACATCAGTTTTTTTAACTGTTGTTCATCCCAATAATTTGTGTTCATGGGAAGATGTTGTGGCTAATGTTGAAGTTGCCACTCTATTTTAAAAAAAGAAATCTTCAGTTGGTTGTATGTTCTTGTTAACAGATGGCAATGAAAGTGAGAAAGACTTTTTGTATTTGTTCCAAGTAGAAACCGCAGAGGTTATAGGACTGAAGGGAACTTTTGATGTGGACCCAGGGAGAGGAGTTTTTACTTTGTTTACTACTCAATACTTGTGTTGCTTCATTTGCCAAACATGGAAACACAAGGGGGAGGAGTGGCTTAGAAAAGACCAACATCAGATCTTTTCCATCCTTTCCCCTCCCCCTCCATGATATCCCGATCAGTTGTCCTATGCTTTTTACGCTTATGAATGTGCTGTCCTCACGTCTAAGTTTTAGAATGGCAAATTATCAGTAGAATTATTTTCCCTTCCCCTATTTGATGTATGTAAATCCATTTAATAAATCTTTTGTTCCTTTCCACGGCTCTGTATTCCAGACTACAGATGGTGTGCGAGCTAACTGTGACATGTAAAACCCATATGTCTTTTGAATGGCGATGTCTTGGGAAGAAAGCTTACATAGCTGGAGTGTACTCACTTGTAAATTAGTTCATTCATAGAGCAAGAATGAAAAAAAAAAAAAGACAAAACAAAAAAAAAGGAAACATCTTGGCCTTTTATATAATTACCTGTAACAAACTGTTTTTACATGTTGGTCATCTCTTGATTGCCTTTTGTGTCTTTGCTTATAAAAGAAACGTATATATATATATATAAATATATATAGTCTCCCTAATTTGCTTCTGTCAAGCTGATTCACTGTAGGAGTCCGAATCACTGCTAGGTTCATTACAATACAAAACTTGTACAGGGAGGAGGTTTCTGACTGGACATGAGTGTATATCTACTTTGTAAGAGTGGATTCAGTTGTGATGGTAACGACGGCCATGAAGATGAGAGCCCGGGTTTGCCGCTTTTTCTCTGGCCCGTACCTCGGGTTCTGTTTGTGATTTCTCCCGATTACTTTCTAGAAATGAAAACTTTCTCTTCATATGCATTCATAATTTTGTGCGTGTCGGTGTGTCTGTTGAACAAAACTAGACATGCATGCAAAAAAGCAGTGTATTTTAGTAGTGATGCCTTAAGTTAGACCATAAGCTGAAGGTTCTCAGAAAAAAAAAAAAAAGAAGAAAAAACATTTAATGAGTTTGTTCCTCTCTCCATGTGGTATACAATTGTGTCCTTTCCTTCCACAGTACCTTTGCTGGGTCACTATTTTTGCACCCTCGTTAGATAGGTCCTCATCAGCAGTGCCGAGGTCTCTGAACTTTCCCCTTCCACACTGGGACGAGTGCGCCTCTCAGCACTCACAGGTGTTGCGAGTTTCTCTCGGCTGTTTGCAGGTTATCTGGAAATGTCCTGTATTTTCCAATGTGTGTTTTTTGTACTGTAGGGAGTAATGTATCTTTTATCATCAAAAAATAAACATGTTAAACATAAAAAAAATTGGGCTTTTGTGCGTGTGTGTATATTAAGAGTAAACACAAGACGAGTTGAATCACCTGCTGTAAGCCACGCTGAGCCACTCTCAAAAACGGCTTCTCTACATCCAGATCTTCTTTGGCACTTCCTTCAAAGTATTCAGCTCCAATTTCCTCGCACCACTGCCGGGCCAGTTTGTCAGACACCTGAGAGGAAACAAAGTGTTACTCACATGACGGATCAGAGTAATGTGTGGAATAAAATGCATAAATCTAAAGGATGGGCCTCTTGGCAGACTGAGTTTCACGAGCAGCGGGCTTGGAAAGCCTGTGGTGACCACAACACGTCAAACTAAATAATGGTCACTTTTGTCATGCAGAGAGCCATCCTGAGATGTTGACATCTGATTTGTAAGAGTTAATAAACATGGATTATGCAGATTAAAGGCTTAGCATTAAGAATATAAAGGACAAACACAGCCCTGATTTCTTTATATTTGCTCCTAGTGAGCCAGTGATCCTGACCAATAGTTCTTCAGGCTTTCTGAAGGTCTTTCTTTCTACACTGACTGCATTTCCCTCTGTTCAATCCAGTCATAGACACTAATCTACGAATCATTCAAGCATTAAATAAATCCACCTAACTCAACGCATGAAGTCTTCACATAACAGAGAACATAGCAAACCCATTTCAGATGATATTGTTAGGTGCTCCGTTACTAGCAGCCTGTCATTAAAAACATTTGTTCACATTTCTTGACCAGAATCTACTAAAAATCCCAAAGACAACACTTTGACAGGCATAATATATTTTTGCAAAGGGATTTCCATTCGCATCTCTACAAAGTGTGCAGTGAGTACTATACGTAATATAGTAGTCACTGTTAACTGTTATTCTGTAAGACTTCAGGTTGTGTTTTTGTATTTCATTTTAATTCAAATGTTCCAACTCTGTCTAACCAAATAACATAAGCACAAAAGAAAGCTAAAGATTGTTTAGACAGTTTCTCTTTCTATCCCAATAACACTTAAATGGGTTCACTGTTATTTCAGCTGCTGGCTTCTTCGTCAATCATTTTTAGGTCTGAGTCGGGATGTGGCTATAGATAGTCACATCTGATTTTGAGCTGCCACTTCCTTGTGAGAGTCACATGCAGTGTGTCACTTTGCATCAGCTTTCTTCATTCTGCAAAACTGAATAATAATCAAAATAATATCAACTGACAATTTTCTTCCACCGACTTCAAGTAGTTTTCAGGCTTTCTTGTAGATTCATTGCATTTTCTCTTTGAGGTAGTTTCCATCCAATTCCAGTAAAATCTGCACTGATTGTGATTTACAGTTTTCCTCCTTGGGTAGGCAGTAGAACAGTGAGGTTAACCTGCACTTGACCGATGCTTTCTTCCCGTATCTTTCCTGCAGTGTTGACTTTTGAATACCAGAGCCAATCAAAATGTGAGACTGAGGGACAAGAGATAAATAATGCTGTGCAGCCTCCACATAAAGTAGGACACCTGGTTACCCTGGACGCAGCTTACTTTACTGTGCGCTCACACCAAAAATAGAACAGAAGAATACAAAATGTTAATAGAGACTTCACTTTTGATCTAACACTCACTGTGACTTGCATTTCCTTTGCAAGAGTGTAATTTATAAGTGTATTTCAGAAAGAAAAGAGAAATCTCAACAGGCGTGAAAGCATGGCTCCATTCTACCAACAGTTCAGGCTGATGGTCGTGGTGTTGGTGGTGTAATGGTGAGAGGGCACATTTTCTTGGCACACTGGGCATCTTATTAGTACCAACTGAGAATGGTTTAAATACCAAAGCCTACCCGAGAACTGTTGCCGACCACGTCTATACCTTAATGACCATCTTCAGCTGTTTCCAGCAGGATAACGCCACAGAGCTCAAAAATCTCAAAGTTCCTTCTTGAACTTAACAATGAGTTTGCTTTACTCAAGTGGTCTCCACAGTCACCAGATTGGAATCCTACAGAGCACCTCGGGGATGTGGTCGAACATCATGGATCTGGAGAAGCTGTGTGAGGCTGTGGATCAAAATCTCAGAGGAATCTTTTCCCACCACCTGGGGAGTCTACACCATGAATAATTGAGGCAGTTCTAAAGGCAAAAGTAAGCTAAGCTACATTTAAAAACGCCCAGTGACTGCATACACACAGAATGGCAAAATTGAAGCAATTTGATAACAAACCCTATAACAAGGTAGCTCAATATAGACTAAAGGTCCTAAACCTAAGTGATCACACAGGTTCCCACTACAGCACCAGGCCGAAAAGCAGGTAAGACAAAAATGATGTTAGAGTTCAGTGGTGGTTCCAACAAATCTGCATTTAATAAAACTGTACTGAGCCACGTGTGTGGTAAACCTGGAGATGCCTCACTGACTGAAAGAAGAGGACTTTGACTAACCTCTCGGTCGCTCAGATCCGTTTTGTTGCCCAGTACAATAAAAGGGAAATCAGAAGGATCCTTGGGTTCCCCTTGGATCAAAAACTCCTTCCTCCACCCATCCAGAGCAGAGAAGCTGGCCTTGGATGTGACATCAAACACCAGCACGCAGCAGTGAGCTCCCCTGTACAGAGGTGTACCCAGAGACTGGAACCTCTCTGTGCCTGCTGTGTCCCAGATCTGACATACACACAGTGGGAAACATGAGATTAATCATCCTATATGACATGAATGTCTTGTTCCTGGGTGTGTGGGGGCTTGTTTCACTGCCAAATGCACAGGTGCACAGGTGAATTACCTGCAGCGTGACTGTGTCCCCATCTATGTTGATTGTTTTAGAGAGGAAATCGGTCCCCACAGTGGCCCGGTACATGTTGGTGAAGCGGTGATTCACGTATCTGTTCATGACGGAGGATTTTCCCACCCTAAGTAAACACTCACATGTTTAGTGGAAATCGACAAAATGAAGACCTCTCGCTCTTTTACCGGAGACAGCCACAGTATTCTTCTTGCATCGCACTGCGCCGTTTAATACAAGCCCACACTTTCACACTTTTGAGAATTTGGAATTGTGTCTTAAACTATGAACAGAAAAAGAGCCGGAGTAAATGAAAGCGAAACAAGTATCGGTGGAACTGCGGAATTAATAAGAACCTTTAAATGCCCCTTTAACTCACCCAGAGTTTCCTATGAGGATTATTTTCAGTGTAATAGGACCCTTTTTGTCACTCGTATCCATGTCTGATTGTTTGGCCCAGCCGGTATGAACCCACAAGAGCTCACGCTGCCGATGCCTTCACGGGTCCCTAGAAATATTCGGCTTCAATGACTGGACGTGTCACACGCCTATAGCCAGATTTAGAAATTAAAATAAAATAACTAAAATACTAATATTATTATTGTTTTAAATTTTCAAGTGATTTCCTCCGTGTGTTAAATATATTCTTTCTTTCTTTCTTTCTTTCTTTCTTTCTTTCTTTCTTTCTTTCTTTCTTTCTTTCTTACCACACTGCTGGCAAGTTGCAACTAAATGTCCAAATATATTATGTGTTGCTTTTTTAAATCCCCAGTAGATGGCTACAAGTTCCAAATTACGAATAAATACTTCTCATGCCCCCTGTGTGTCATTGTTGTATCTAAAATTCCAATTAAGTGGCTGTGCTTTGAAGGCACCGCATCATGACAGGTGATTGGCACACAGCCGTGTTCTCCTCATTCCTGTATGAAAGGTCCACAGACTCAGCAGCAGGGCTCTACTCCAGGAACAACTCTGAGTTTGTTAACCCTGAGCTGAGGAAACTCCGGATCTTCTTGTTCCAGAAAAACAGTCAACTTCAACTCCGAGTCAGTAACTGGGGTCAGATAACCTGCTCGCTGGCAGGTTTTAATTAGCGAACTGAGTTTCTCTCTGACTCCTCCCCTCTTGCTGCACCTGAACCACCTGGCTGACACCTCGAATCATTTCCTCATTTATAAAATCGCTGTCATTGTGTAGGGGAGTGAACTAATCTGCAGAAGTTGACGTTTTTAGAAGCACTAAAATCCCAGTTAGACGCTAATTTGTTCTATTTTTGTACTTAACATTATACAGGCATTTACTCCTCGATATACAGGTATATACAGCCATGACGTTGCATATTTCTAATCAACCCAGTATAAAATCCACAGTCTCTATCTCTGTGGCTCTGTGGAGAGTAGCTGTCAGACTGTCATGCAGCTCTTCTGAAACATTTACTGTAGCAATGACTGTTTCAGTCAAACTCATCTGTGTAAAACTTTAGACGCACCACATACTGATGGTGATGGAAAAATGTCTGTCACAGCTGGATCTTGGATATGATGTGAATATTTGAGTGAAGGTGAGACTGATCTTCACAGATTGTTCACAGATTCAGCCACTGAATGATCTGAAACATTTTAAAGCAACTGAACCTCAACATATTTTCCACTGAAGATCACCTAAGTGACTCTATCAGTGACTCCAAACTGGATCAGCCCTAAGGTAGCCTATAGGCTCTGTAATGGATCAGTGTTTTTGATCACTGTTCGGCTTTACTAATAAAACTTTACATTCTACATTTGGAAAGCGGCCCTTCATTATTATTATTATTATTATTATTATTATTATTATTATTAATTAATTTTTTTATTTTTTATTTTTTAGATCAAACTATAATGGTTACACTGGTGAACAGTAAAGATTTATTTTTCTGTAAATCTCAAAAATGGGATTGTTACAGCCCATCAGTACATCAAATGTTCACTAAACAAATTAAAATACATAAAAAATAAAAATGAAATGCCCAAAACTGTAAAAAAAAAAACAACAACAAAAAAAACCCCTTCCTTTATTCCCCACTAGAGGGCAGTATAGACCTCAGGTGGTTTATTTTTCTTCTCGGACAGATATGCTTAGAGCCATGAGGTAGGGTTGCTTGCTTTGAATAATCATTAAATGACCAGTTTAGTGTTTTTAACTGATTGTGAGGTTACAGTTATTAATGAAAGTTAAAATATCATCAATATTTTAATTAAATGTAAAAAAAAAAAAAAGGCTAAAAGAAGAAGGAGACATATCAGAAAAGCTAAAATGCTGACATTTACTCACACTTTGTACTTTGATGTTTCAGAGTTTCCTTTTATTGGAGTAATCAAATTCTGACATCTTTTATTACGTTTCACTTTTGAGTGTTCAGGTTAGCCTGAGGACAGGTTCATATATATATATCTATATATATATACATCAATCATACAATCATCATAAGAATATGTTGAATTCACTGCCAAAAGCCAAGGGAAAATCTCATGATTCATGAGGTTAATGAGGTGAAATAATTACCATAACTCAGTATACAGTTAGTGTCATTGTTGGGTCTTACAGAATGACAAATAACACTTTAAAAATAATGGTTCTTGAAATAAAATGGCCAAGAATGTGGGAATTTCGTCATCTAAACAGCATCATTAAACGATTCAGTAAATCTCTGCGTAAAGAAGAACAAAAAACAATACTGATCTTAAAAAAACGCACATGATGCTGAAGTGGAAATCCCATCTTAGTAATATTCAGAAAATCACAGTCAGTAAACTTTTTTTGCTGCATCCACAAATGTGAGGTGAAATTCCACCATACAGAGACATAGAGGCATGCATAAACATGATCCAGAAACTCTGAGCTCTTCTCTGGACTGACCTCATATGAGATGGACTGAGGCAAAGTGTAAACTCTTTGGTCTCTCTTTGCTGATATTGTGTTTGAAAATCATGGACTTTGTGTTCTTGCTGCTGGAGAGTAGAGGAATCATTTGGCTTGTTATCAGAGCACGGTTAAAGGCAGCACCCGTGATAGTATGGGGCACATCAGCGCACGCTGGATGTATAAACTGCCTCTGTGAAGGCCTTGATTGTTTTCAGTGAGGCCATGCAGTCAGTCACAATCCCTCATCTACCCACTGAAAACATCTGGTGCACTATGAAGCAAAAATATGACAGAAGGAGTCAAGCAGCTGAAACCCTCGAAATCCTTTATCAGGCACGAATGAGCAACATTTGCTTTATGTCACTTGTCTCTTCAGCTCTTCCACCTGCTGCCTTTAGGGGTCACCATAGCAGATCATCTGCTTCCACCTCACCCTATCCCTAGCAACCTGCCTGTCGGCTCCATCTGCTACATACCGCACGCCCTGACCATTTTGAGCTTTCCTTTGAACTTTATCTCCAGCTGAGCCGTCCTGATGTACTCATTTCTAATCCCAATCTTCCCGGTCATTTTTAGAACTCAATACAATTGATCAGTTTCAACATCTAACATGTTGTCTATTGTGTTTTCAAACCAATACTATCACGCTTTTGTTTACTTGATGCCTGCTTTTAGAAATGCGATTCTAGATTAATGACAGATGAGGTAGAGTTCAATTTTTCTTTGTCCAGTATCAAAGTTACTTATTTATCCTAATGTATGAGTTAAATTGGAAGGTGGTTATCAAGAGGTTAACATAAAAGCATATATAAAATATAAACAATAATAACTAGGAAGTAGTACTTACTACTGAAACACACAGACACAGAAAACAGAAACAATGCAGAATTTATATTTGTGATCATAAGAGGGGTGAAAAAATTGTGCAATCTTCAGCGACGGATAAAAGTTAAAAACAGAACATAAAACCTATAAGAAAAGAAAAACTCAACTACTTGACACAATGCTGAGATTCCTTCATATCTATGTCCTGTAGTGACTGTCAGAGGTGCAGCAGAACACTGAGATTGCAAAAAACAGCAACAGAAAAACTAGCGTATCTCTGTGAGTGGCACTCGTGAGTGCCCGCCTAACTTTATTAGACAATGGATGGAGACACACTCATAACGCTGTGCTGCTGCACAAAGTCCACGCTTGTTTGGGTGCCAAGAAAGCGCCTAAACATTTATTTCAATCACAGTGAAAGTAATGGAGACGTGTACAATAATGGAGTGGAGACTTTTTGAAAAAGTGAGGACCTTCTGGATGTGACCCCCGTCCGCCCCTCCTTTCTTTCACACCTTTTAGAAAGAAGAAAGAAACGGAAGCTGTGTGAGTGTCAATATTCAGTTTTATGGGTTTTGGTCAGAAACAGCTTTAGGCTATTCACTTAGTTAAGTCTGTAGTGAGGACCTAGAGAAACCACTGTGTCAATAAATGTCCTCAGAAACAGACTGTATGAACATTTGTGTGTGTGTGAGAGAG